CACAACTCCACCCGCCATCCGGCATCAGACAACAAATAATATCGGTGTGGCGGTCTTACATACCCAGGCAACATTTTCACTGTTTAGGTACCGCACATTCGACCTAACATCTATACTGCGCTGGAATCTGTAACCTACTGGCAGCAACTCCGAGAAATAGAGACAAGGCAAATCTGAAAAGACTTGACCGATTTGCATTAGTCCGTACAAGCACGTGAAACCCGAATCTGAATGTGATCTACGAAATCCGACGAGAACAAATTTCGACAAGCAATTTAATTCATTCGGATTGCTATGAAAGACTCGCGGACCATTGACATATTCCCATGAATTTTTCAATCCTGTTTGTTTAAGTAACTCAAAATTGCAACAATAGCAACCGAGCGGCGATTTAAAAAATGGGCTGAAATGCTCCCTGTCCCCAATCTCATATTTTCTGTAACTGCCAGGTTGTGTTTACTATCTTTAGTTTCCAAAATATGTCAGGGTAAGTCCCTTTTTTCTCACAATTCACCACTCACTATAGGCATACATCCGGATGTGTATACTGAACCAAAGGAGCTTGGTTTCCAGGCCTATACGGGAGATTATTTGTCGTCCAAGTCTCTATACATTATACAACCCAAGTTAGAGGGCTCCCTCGTGGCGCAGCTTGGACCTTTGACATCCAAGCATTTCTACAAGATGGCGAGCGTTTCTGTTTATCTCAACTCGCACACAGTGTATATCAGGAAATCATACACCCCGCCACTTTATGCGCTTTGTGCAGTAGACAACGCTCACTTGGTTGCTCAACCGGATACTGTATTGGTGTGTACTTTCCAACTTTATATTCCTTCATCAACCCTGGTTTTCGCCAATGCATCCTGTTCCATAAACTGCGTTAATGGGTCAGAATGTGCCGCACGACTTGACCTTGACTTCCTGAAGCTCCAGTACTCTTCGTTGGCCTCAACGTTTACCGTTATGCTAGCATACAACGTGACAGCCTATCAGTTGCAGCAGGATCGAGGCGTAGCTCAATACAACGAACGGCCTGACATTACAGAATCCCTCATTTACCACTCGCAAACGCTCCCTCCTGTTACCGTTATAATCCAGCCAGAACTCGCTTGGCATATCCTTGTGAAAGATCACACGGATGTACCCCTCGTACAATGGGGACTACCGACCGTTCGCACTCAAGATTTATTCTCGCTTATCCTTAGTGTCCTTCTGGATTCTCCGGTTCAAGAGCTAAAAATGAAGTAAGGATTTGTGAATTTGGTTGGTATTTATCCCGTTTTATGAATAGCTAGTGCGATAGTAGAAAAACTAGATCATGCCTTTATCTCCCGATTTTCACGTTCATTGGTTTTATTCAGCTCTGTGTTTGTCGGTTTCGAATGACTTTTTCGACTTGGGCATCGGTCTCATCCACATAGAGCTAAAAGCGTTCGCGCATTTTCAACAATGCATTTTACCTCACGTTCCTCTGTGTCTCCGGTAGGTTTCACCATGTTAATCGGAAAATGAGGAGTACTATTGCTCATAATGCGTCCAAGAAAAGCGTTGTGCACTCTCCCAGGAATATGTCGCATACTGAAGTTTTATGTGGGAAATAATTAGGACCTTGTCCAATCCAACTGTAACCATGATGTCTTCTTGGAATCAATCCAGTAATGTTGGTAAATATTTTGCGGTACTATTTTGGCAAAGTTTCACAGAAGTATGCAGCATAACAGGACGACGTGTACAGTAATATATGAAGCAAAGTAGGCTTTTGAGTGAATGCGCACTGTTTATTCTGGAAGTTTTTGCCGCTAGCAGAGGACGTTTTACTCTCGGAAGACTTCACTCATGTCCGGCGGACTTCAAGCGCAGTGAATGTGATTGGTCTAAGCTTGTTTGTTGATAGGAATTGATAAAGACTTAAAAGCTGAACTAATGAAGCATTGGTTATGTGAATCAACGGGCAATATTGGATTCCTGGTTTGGTCAGCTGGGCGAGTGTCGAAAATTCTTGGCTGATTTTGCCTCGAGCTTCTTACTCAGGAGGTACCATGAGACAGTGTGCTGAAAATCTGAAGTCAGACCTAAGCCATGGCATGCTATAGTGGGTATTATTCCACTGTATCTGGTCTAAGCAGTGTTTCCGGTTTTTCGGTGTAATCTAGTACAGTAGTGTTGCATTCATTACCACCAGGTTTTCGCACACCTCGCATGTCCAGAGTCCGTCTTCAATGCTAAAGAAAACTTGAGATGTACTAGCATCTGTCCTCGGTTTTTCGGTGGAATCTAGTACAGTGGTGTTGCATTTATTACCACCAGGTTTTCGCACACCTCACATGCCCAGAGTCCGTCTTCAATGCTATAGAAAACTTGAGATGTACTAGCATCTGTCCTTGATTGAGAGAGATGTAGTTTGTTCTAAAACGTGCGGTTAACATCAAAGAAATGACTTCTGTCTTTCACCGTAGGTTCTGAAGGTAACTGCATGCACTGTTGACGTGTGAGATCTGAGAAGCAGTTTTCACTTTTGCGGCTTCCGTCTTCAAACATTTGATTTTCCAGGCACTTGAAGATTCTAACGACGCCAAAATGGTCATCCGACAGGGCTGCAACTGGTCGACTGCGGGCGAATGCTTTTCAAAGTTTTCATTGGGACAGGGAACATTTGATTTTCCAGGCACTTGAAGATGCTAACGACGCCAAAATGGTCATCTGACAGGGCTGCAACTGGCCGACTGCGGGCAAATGCTTTTCAAAGTTTTCATTGGGACAGGAGTTTAAAGCCGAATAATTTAATGTGAGAATCCGACGAGAACTGAGTGTTTTGGCAAATTCATCGCTGCTAGCGAAACGCTGAAGCAGTTGGTTGAGTGGTATGGTTTGACTGGCCAGAATGATCCTATGGTTGCCGGGTGGATCGTGTTTTTTCGGCAATTTAGGGCAGAACCAAACTTCTGTGCTCCATACCGTGACGGAATCAGAGCGCTTTTAAAGTTGATTTTGCTAAAATATTTTATATAAAAATAAGCGTATTTACTTCTGTTGCGAAACCGTGAACTGAGATTGCATCCCTAATACCATTTCTGTACCTAGCTTTCATGAGAACCGGGGGCTGTATGGATCAGGCAGGCTTGGAGAAGCGAAGTGTTCCAACGACGGGACACTCAATGGAAATAGATTAAAGGAAATCTTCCCCACAATTTATATTAGTAACTCCACAAGAGTGACCCATTTAGCAAAGGCGTATCACCTGATTGAAAGATATTTGGGATAAATTTATGCATTGATGATTACTTTCCATTGTAGCAACAGTAAAATAAGGTAGTATGATGTCTTGAGAATGGGGAATCGACTTAATCTTATCAGGGTTTTGGCTGAGGTTTTTCAATTTGTGCTGGATGAAATCCAGGAGGGATAAGTAAAGAAAAACAACCCATCCTTAACATGACAGCAATATCCTGATGGAGAGCAAGCTTGAGACCTATTAAGGAGAATTCGGACAGGGCGAAGTTTATTCATACCTGAAAAAGAAAACCAGTCTTCCGTCGTCGAAAAAACCTCCAGGTGTACTAGAAAGAATTGCGACACAAGATAAATTCACGAAGAATTTCGAGAAAACTTAACGTTGTTGAAGTTCGACGATCCTGAGTCGGGGACGTTAACGGGGTTGGTGTTTGGAGCCATAATGAATTATGTCCGGTTTTCACATGATTAGAAAGCAGTGAATTGGCTGGTGACGTAAGTTCAAAAGTCCAGAGTGGCATTGTCCGTAAAGATACAGATAGAAAAGGTGGTGGACGATTGAATTCCGCTTCCATAAAGTATGAGGAGTGTGGAAGATGGTGCAGATTTTCGGTGAACTCGAATGCTCATTTTCCGAGTGTGACAGGCAGTGGCGTTCATTCTTATATACATCGTTGAAAATGGATTCTGAGGTCGTTGGGAACGTAAAGCTCTGCAGTTGGGCCGGATTTACTTTGAGCCGCGACAGCTGAAAGTCAGTAGAGGGACGGGAAGCTCGTAAACAGACCACAAATAATATCTTTAAACGGACACTTCACCCCTAAAATGGAAGAATTGAAGAGAAAAACGTTTGGAAGTTGAAGTTTACTAGATCCGGAGATTCGGGTCTCAGTGTGGAACAAAATGGAGGACGAGATGGGGGAAGAGGATCGTTCGGCTGAGGTACTACTGCAGTTCAGTCTGTGGTCGTTATACTGTTAACTTTAGCGTTCGCCTGAGAGATCAGAACGAGTTATCCTTTCGGTGTAAATGTTCATGTTTGTTCGGTGAGTGATATAGACCGGCATCCCATCTCAGAGTCTTGGAGTGATGAATCAAATGGCGTTCCTGTAAGTTGGGCGAAATGTTACTGACTTTGTTAGATCAGGTATCAAATACACGAATGTAAGTCAAATTGTCTAGCAATTACAAGCAACTTGGACAACAGTATCGATTCTAAGCGTCTTGGCGGAAATGTGCTATCATTTCGCTCGATTTGGAGTATAGTTGCCTGTTAAATGTTCAGAGCGTGCTGATTCCAAGGTTGGGTCCAAACACAACGAAAGCAAATGTAGCTCTCAGTTTATTTTCAGCGCTGGTGTTTGTGAAAACCAATTTATTTCGCGTTCTATATCTATGAAAACATTTGTTTTTTGCCTTCCTTCTGATGGGCCCTTGAATTCTCATCCGTCGTTTTTTTCACACAGTGAACTGCAAAAGCGTCCTGACTGCTTAGAGACCAACCAATAAAACGTCGGCTGAAATTATATAGCGTTGTTAGGCAAAGTTACTATTCATCTTATCTGAAACTTAATTCTAGGTTTATTAACTTATCTAACAGATCTACTGACGGATTTTTCGGAGCCTCGCCAATGACCAACGACACTGTTCAATAGACTTATATCAGGTGCAAAATTCCTATTTTCAGTTTACTTAAGTGGTGGTTATTTATCTCCTTGGTATGTTTCTAGCGTTCAATTGTTTTTTACGGATATTTTAAGCATTTCTTTTTCCTCAAATATCAAGCTTTAATAGACCGTAAAGCCGTAATTGTATGTTGTTTGTTGGTGGCCGTTATGGTCGCTGGGGCCTATTTGTGTTTCGCGAGCGCCACTCGCTTCCTCGATAAAGTTCCTTGATTTCTTACTTATCTTCGCCTCTTATTTGCACTTGGAACTCAAAAAATTAAAAGAGAAGTTTTTAAACAATGTGTCGGTCCACTGTAATAGTGCGGGTGGTGTAAATAAATTAATGGATGGAACTGTTCTATGGTCATATCAGTCACAAATTATGCAGCGCGGCCGATAAGATTATGCAGACAAATTAGTTTGGGCATTCATCGTTTAGAAGAGAATTTTAGTGGCTGGGGTAGTTCAGGTGGCTAGTCTGAAGACTAAGCGTCGCCATGCATACCACGTACTACAGCTGCTAATTCCCAACAATCCGCAGTAAGATCTGCACAGATGTTCACCCAGTCTTGCTTCCAACACGGAATATCGTAGAATGACCAGAGGCGAAGTTAGTTTACGCTGTTCTCGACAGAAGACACCTATATTCTCGGCCTAATGTCGGTGGCAATTCTAATGCCAATGTGAATCTGATTTAAGGGCTTTTGATCAAGAAATATTATTGTCTATTTACAGTCAGAAAAACAAACACAAGGGCAGAGTTCTTTAGTTTCTCATGTGCGTTGTTTACGTACAGAGTTATCCTGAACTGGAATTTATGCCTTTGTGCGCAGTTCATTTTGGAAAGAATTTATCGTAAAATCCTCACCGCTATGGGCTGGCAAAACAAACAGCCTTTATAAAACCGTTTTACAGAGTTGGTTTTGTGAATGTTGGATTACTAACTCGGTGTCAGTCTAATCGAAACAGTCCAGCAAGATTAAAAGTAACTGCTGATTGTTTACGCATCTTTAATGATGTCATCATGAAATCCTGGCAGCCTCTCATGCCACTGCTTCTTAGTGCGGCGTCTTCAACTTTTTCCACACTGGCAGAGGAAAAGTCGAAAAAAGCTTATCACGGGCCCACTGGGTACACGATGCCCATCCCGTTTCGTTTTCGCTTACATCAATACTCAACAGTGACCATCACAGCGCAACTGATTAGTTAAACATTTCTTTTAGCCTGTTTTTAGGAGGACCTCTTGAAACGCGTTACTGTATATGTGCACTCCATATCCTTTACTGGTAGAGGTTTGCCATTATAAGCGCACTGATCTTCCCATATAGTATCTTATCCAAATTCAA